CTTCCAATGTTTAAGAAAATAAATACAGGAATAGCAACTCAAATAGGTGTGCACCCACTAAAAACAGGATTCATCGTTAGAAGAATATATATATATATATATATATATATATATATATATATATATATATATATATATGGCAAATCTAATTTTCAGACGATCAGGAATCGTTAGGTGGAAATCCCGATAGAAACGCTGGTTATTTCATTCATTATTTCCTTGCAAAGTTAAGTGCTGTGTATTTTGACACACTGTGCATTTTGGGATTTTTAACATTGGAAGGGTTTATTGATTGTTTTATGGTATACCTATATATATGTGTGCGTGTGTGTGTGCGTGTTTGTGTGTGTGTGTGTTAGAAATTTGACAAATGGAAAACGTTTCATTGAAAATAGATGTGACTGAAAATAAATTTCATTACGTGTTTCGCCTTTCAAGGCTTCATCAGATCCAAAAACGAAAGAAAGAAATGTGTCTATGTGTATTTGTATCTATGCTTAAATACGTAATCACAATACTGAAGGATTGCATGAGAATTTGCTTTGGATTCATTTCAGAAGAGGCTTATATGAATTTCTTGCTTTTGAGTCATTCGGAAAATGAGATGAGGATTTTCTTTAATTCAATATAAAATAGCTGGGAAAACATTAACAACATTCCTCTCGAACTAAGAATTGTAAAGAAAAGATATTAAATAAATATTATGGGCTTTTTCTTTCGTCTTTAATCACGAGAAACGCCAGCTTAGGGAAAATATTAAGATTCCTTATTTAAGCATAGATACAAATACACATATATATATTTCTTTCTTTCATTTTTGGATCAGATTCTGATCTTGAATATCAAAAGGCGTAATCAAATTTATTTTCAATGAAAAGTTTTCCATTTGTCACAATTTTAAGAGATGTTGTCGGTATTTATTTTAAACACACACACACACACACACACACACACACATATATACATATATATATATATATATTTTATTTAGAATATTACATCGAAAACATGTCAGAATCGCTACACAATTGCAGTCGTGTTTCGATTCGTATCAACGTATTTCATCAGGCGATTGTAAATTACTATATAATAAAGGTAATTTACAATCACCAGATACGCATTGAAACACGACATGTTTTTGAATCCTAAAATAAAGAATATTGCTCTACTTTGTATTTTGACATTCTTTTGAAACTGTATATATATATATATATATATATATATATAATATTGTAATATTGGAGGAATCGAAACTTTTCTCATACAGTCTCAGTTACTGTGGACTGGTCATGTCTTGATAATGTCTGATGGCAGGATACCCAATATCCTAATGTACAGCCAGTTAGATCAGGGCTACAGGAATGTAGGGCGCCCACGGCTAAGATACAAAGACAAGCTGAAAGGCAACTTGTCAGCTGTCAATATATCACATAACACCCTCGAGCGTTTAGACTTGGAGTGGGTAAAATGGAGATCAACGTGTTTTAGTGAACTCGGCAGATTTCAATCAGCTTGTCTGAATCGTCTTCAAGAATCGAGAGCAAGATCTAAAAGGTCAGCCAATCTAACAGTGATCTCATCCTACAATCCTTACTCTTGCCCCATATGTAGCCTCCTTTGTAAATCACTAGCAGGACTTAAGTGCCACTTAAGATTATCGCCCCAAATTTTATAACTGAATCAATTAAGTTGTCAGATCCTCATACGTTGAAACCGACGGGAGAGTCCATTATATATATATATATATATATATATATATATATATATATATATATATATAATTAGAAACAGTCTGTCTAAGATTACACACTGGAAAAAGAATGCTCAATGCCATCAATAATGGCTGAGCTTTAAAATATTTTAAGTCAAATTCCAGGAGGATAGTGACCGACCATGACTTCATCCAGTTTCATGCGTTTTCACACAATTATCTGACGCTTGGTAGCTGAAATTCGTAAAACAGGAACCATTCTACCATCAGGCGGTGGTATAACTTTTCCTGTTTTGAAGTGTTCCGTTTAACAATGGCAGGATATTCATGTCGTTTGCAGGCCGATATCATTTTTGCGTCCGGCCGCGCGAACCGTAATGGACGCGAGGATGAACAGATGTATCAGATTGCGTTTGCAGACCGTAGGCAGCCGAGTTATTTAACCTTTGCTGCTGTTTATCGTCGCGTTGCAGAGATAAGATCCGTGGCACCACACATTACGGATCGAAGATTTTGGGGTCGTATCTTGGATTGTACATTTAACAGCATCTAGCGTATAATTTAAACTTAATAAATGAAAAACGAGAGACCTGCGAAGATGTGTTTATATGAACTTTTGTCCTTGTTTTGGTGTGAGAAAGCCGCCCTGAAAGTTTGAAAAAGTATTTTTGATACACCTTGTATATAATATAGTTTTAAGTTATGCTATATTTATGAGATAAAGTTCTCAATAACAACAAAATTTATTACGAATGTAGCAACATCATATTAAAATGCATATAACATTTAATGTCATTTACATTTCTACCAATTTACGGTTAGCTTATAATGAAACGGATGTTTTGCAAAAAGTTTCATATATACAACGGATAAATTTTAAATTTAATATAATTACAGAGGGCGTTCGTACGTGTTTTTAAAAATCACCATCACAATGGAATGCAGATTTTATCGGAGTTACAATAAGTTTGATAAGTTTGTAATTTACCTCTGAAGATGATCTTGGGAAAGATCGAAAGTACTTGGGTTAACAAAAACTACGCTGCCTTCCTTCCAAGGATCACTATAAAAATAGACACAATATATCTATATTATTCAATGAAATATATATATATATTGTGACGTGAAATAATTTTTCCCCAGAAAGTGATAGACAAACATTATTATGCGATCAGGAAAGCAACAAGCTTACTTCTTGATTTTAGAAGATCGATTTTTGACCACATTGACAATGTCTTTTGTTATCAGTGAATGGTTCTTTAGTCCAATACTATTAAAAAAAACAGGCTTTCCAAAAGTTTTATCATTGGGTTGTCACGATGGTTGACAAAGAAGACAGTGAGAGAATACTTGATCAAATAATTCTTCCATAAATATCTTACTTGATATTGAAAAAGTTGATGCACCCTTTGTCGGGACTGTCTTATCTGATATTTGGAGAAATTCAGATTATTTTGCTTTTTAAAGGGTTATTTGATCCATGTGGCTTTTATCTGTTTTAGATTTCACTTGAATTCTCTGACTTATCTTATGAGATCAATAAAGGTCAAAGGTACCACATCTACTGTTAATTTTTTTCAATAGTTTAGAATCGTCTAATACGGAAAATTATGTATATTCTAGATATGAAATAAGTTTAGTATAGCACAGGGTAACATTAATGGGTCATCCAGTGTGTATCAAACTTATTAACAAAACTTTCTAGGTGAGCTTACAAATCAAAATTGTACGCAGGAAATAGGTGAAGATATCCACAGTACTTATGTTAGTCTGTCACAAGGTCACGATAATCGGTCATCAGATGGATTTTAAATCCACTCGTTATAGATGTTGTGGTTTGCTTGCAAACCTATGAGTAGGCCAGGCTTGATGAAGATATTTATATAATGTTTAATATGAAATGAAAAGATCTTTCAGTTATCAAGATTGTAGTTTAAAAGCAGTAAAATTGACCTTGCTAACCAAACGATTCTCTGTGGCCCAATCGGTTAAGGCACTTCAGGCTATATGGCGGTTCCGTATAGGACACAGGTTCGATTTCTGTCGGAGGATGAATATTTTCTATGAAAATTTCTCGGACATTCAGGCTACTGTTTATTATAAACATTTGTATCTATAAAAAGAATGTATAAACATAAAAATGTCTTAAATTAATGTTTAATGACAATACCGCACAATAAGTAACTCAGTGAGAATCTAATTCAATAATATATAAAACATCGATCCTTGGGAGTTACTCGGTGGAGGTTTTTACTAAAGTTTGTTTAGTCCAGCACGAGACCCCAATAATGCAGCTCCTAATAAAGGTTATATTACAAATTAATAGAACCACCAAAGATCGAACTCAATCGTCAACTGCTACACGAGACTAACCGACTAATCATTAATTCATAAGTAGCATGCGATGCTGATATGTACTAAACAAACTTTAGTCTGGCACAGGGTTACAGTTGTGTGGAGAATATGGCGAGGAACGTTACTGGGTGTCAGAATTTCAACATTTAAGCGATCGAGAAAAAGGGGAACATTGTGAATTTTACCTGTGCTCAATGTCCGCTCTCAACAAATAAATATCAATATATTTCAGTCAAGATACGCATTATCTCAACGGACACTAAATTCAGTAAAACATAGGACCATCACCTTGAAGCATTTATTTTGCTCTAAAGGTTTCATTAATGTCTCATTAAAGAGAAGTGGGGGGGTTGCGTTAGGGCAATTGTTCTTCTTTTGCGTCATCTGAATGAAGATTTAGTTTTGCATCGATAAGGACATCGATCAGATTAAATATGGCTTCTTTGACTAATGACTTCTGACACTTCGTCCTCGGGACTGGTGGGAAAAAAGACAACATTTTCGACCATTCACATCTAAATCTCCTATGAAGAGAAAAATTGCGATAATTTACTTTGAGGTAGAATAAAAGTTTTCTATCTTCGATCAACAACGATTCACGGTAAGAGAAATGCCTCTAAGAGATAGAGATTCTAATAAGGATCGAACATGAACAAAGGTGTGACGAGGCGCTCAATGAAGAGTGAATTAAGTAATTAACGTTCTAAACTAATTTTCTAATGGCATGAGGTCTAGTTTTATACATATCTATCATGAAGACATTTTTGTTTCAGTAATGGATCTTCAAAATGTAGATGTTCTACATATTGTCTTCGAGATCGTTCTTTTTTTTATAGAATTAGGTTTGTATCTCTTTCTTTCAGGTGTAGATCACGCTGCTGTTGTAGTAGTTGAAATCTAATCTTATGATCTAATCTCTGCAAATCCTGTTAAGCCATCGCCTGTTCGCGCGTTCAAGAATGCTGGGAAAACGAGAAGACGATCCGGCGTCGGTCTGTAAGATTTTCAATCATTCTTGCTTTCTTTGTTCTCATCCCGTTCTACCGATGGATCAATTTTATAGCATATTGAATCTGCTTTCGATTGGCGTACACATGCTACATTGCAATGGATACAAAACTTCATACGTTCAATACGCTTAGATAATATTGCTCACTTTTTTCCCTCCTTTAACCTAATAAACTCGAGCTTAAAGAAAGCTCTGATCAAAATTCATGAAGCAAGATGTTTACAGTTGAAAAAACGGATTCCACTATTCAATAATCTTCGACGTGCATAAAATCCCTTAATGATTTCTTTGTAGGTATAAATGTTAGGAAATAATGTATGTATTATTATTGACGCCATCTTTGAGAACATGAAGATGAGAATTACTTTTTGAGAGCATTGCAAATTCCTTGAAATCAATGCTTGAGTTTTTTTTGCGTTGAATTGTGACAAATTGTAAAGGATAGTGTCACTTCTTTCCAATTTATTAAGAGAAAAATAATTTTAGAGGAAGTTTTACATTTTGAGAACAAAAAGTACAAACATGCTCTATTACTCAACTTTGTGAAGATAATAAGATTAAAATTACAGGCCTTATCTTTTTAAACTATTATCCTCATCAGTATTACTTTATCAATTCATTTTGGTTGTACAACTTTTCTGCTTTCTTCACGTCTTTATGGTGGTCATTCAAAAATATTAATCTTTGTTTAAACCATCAGTAATGATTATCTATCTATCTATCTATCTATCTATCTATCATACAAATATTCACGTAATTAGAACTCTTTGATCACTCTGTTAAATGCCTATTTTATCCCATGTTTTAAACAACATTTCACGTTAATTGTATGTCAGCTATGAAATTGAAATCGTACATCATTTGGCGGCTTTTTTGATTGTACGGATGGGCGATAAAGAATTATGGAAGGACAACAAAAAAGAACCACAAAAATGATTGAATTTATCAAAAAATGGAGAGAATTTGTCTTCATCTAAACAAACAAAAAAAAAAAAAAACGCTTGAATTTACCGGCTCAATGTGAAAAATTGCCGAGTATTTTTCTGAGGCATCATCTTCAAAACTTTGAACGTGTAAAGAAATTAGTGCAGCTTAATCTTTCTATCTCATTTTCGGCCTGTTTTACCGAGTTAAGCTACATTTAGTAATTATACATAAGTTTGGCTTACTTATAAGCATGTAGAGTAGATAAATAATATTTCTAAACTTTTAACAAAATAATATTGCAGGCTAAAATAATGTTTTTTATTTTCTTTTTTGTTCAGATGACATAATGACATAAAACTTCTGTTTTGGTTGCACAATTTTCTCAAATTAGGCAAGTTGCCAATTTACTAGCAGTGTGACCTGTATTCGATGCAAAAGGTGTCTTTATTCTTGTTTTATTTCGGAAATAAAACAGTGTGCATAAAATGGAGGCAGGTGCGTTGGGATTAAGAGCTTTTCCTCTTTACAGGAAGAAGGATTGAGTTTTTCTGTTGCTTTCACTCGCTCCAAGATGCTCGCTGAGGAAATGGAATGGAGATGAATTTGAAGAAAAAAAGGCAGCTTCAAGGAAGAAATTCTTAAAGTAAGAAAAAAAGAAGAAAAAAAAGAAAAAAAAAGAAATGTTTCATTCACGGCTTAGAGACAACAAAATTCTCTTTCAAATGAATAAAAACCGTGTAATGTAGATGGAAATGTCAGTAGCTTTTATCAGAATTATAAACTTGAAAAGAATTTGATGCAGAAATTTTGACCAGTTTTCACCCAAGATCTTGTTTCTAGAACACACTGTTTGGAAAATACTAATTAGGTTTTTGATGTTAAACCATCATGACGTATATGTCGCCAATACAATATTTTCCTCCGACTAGAATAAACACTTTATCCCTATTTAAATCTTTCAAAAGTCGCCCTGCATCATATACTCTATACGACAAATGGGTGTGGATACGACACTAAATACTACATTCGGAATATTTTGCCCCCCCCATCTTTGTTGTTATTATCGCAACATATCGTGAGTTTTACCCTCTGAACCTCTTCATGTTTTTCTCGATACGCATAACCTTCAAGCAATGTCGAACTGAAGCCTTTATTTAATCTACCGGATTAGATCGTTCGGCTGTTCCCGTCTATGGGAGATAATCCATGTTGTTCTTATTTAGTACTGCTCATTTCCTGCTTTACCCGGTTTCGACTGAATCTAAGTCTATTTTAACCAGTATTACTACTATTAGACTTCACTCACAGCTACTATGCCATTAGGTTTACAAACCAACACCTTTTTTATCCAAGAGATTATTGTCTGGTACAACCTATAATATAGAGGAGCCTTAACACTAATGTCCTCAACACTCCTTATACACCCATAGTTAACTCATTGGTTCCCTGACAGCTCCATATTAAAATATATATGGCATTTATGATTTTAAATCATATAGCATAAAAAACGTTATAGAAGTAAAAAGAAATTATTAGTTGAATATTATTATTGTTCTATACATATTTATTGCGATTTCATAGGTTCGTGTGGATTATATGGCGTGAAAAAGTAATTAAGTCGTAGTTAGAAAACTTTTGTAAGTATAAGAAATAAATTGTCGTTGCCTTTTTTTATATTTTCTTCTTTTTTGCCCACTCTCTTCTTTTGTCAGTTTCTTTTTTTTCTATTTCTTAATATTTTTGTTGATCTTTTTTGCATTATTAATTAATTAATTAATTATATTAATAATTAATCGTAGTAGTAGCAGTGGTCGTCTTCCCCTTCTTTGATTTTCTTGCTTCTCTTCTCCCCCTCCTCCACCCTCTCTTTGTTTCGTTCCATCTCTTTCTTGTCCTTCTCCACCTAATTTATTTTACTAATGCCTCAAATTTTTCTTTTCTTCTGTTCATATTCATTTTCCCCTCTACGTCGACGTTACTCTTTTTTACTTCCTCCTTCCGGCTTCTTCTTCTTTTACTTTTTCCTAAATTTAACAGATTAATTTGCAATGAAACGAAAGAAAAAAAAAACTTGAATGGTAATAAAAACAAATTAATAGCTACAATTTCATTTCATCTCTTTTCGAAATCTATTTCCATGTTTATTGCGAATTTGTTTTACAGGCTGCATTTATGATGATAAACATCCAGACTTTTTATTTAAAAAAATGAAGAAGAAATACCACATGCGAGTAAGTGCTTGATTAGCGTTGACAAAGACGTGCCCAGAAATACGTCCCAACGCACAAAATATATTTGGTTAAGGTGAATTGATAAAGGTGTATCTATAAGTTTCCCAACTGCTTGGTCATTTAATTTAATTTCTGTTTCGACACACTCTACTTAACCCACATAAAATTCTATGATAATATTTCATATAGAAAAGCAGATAATTTATGTTCAAAATCTATCCGGAAACGACGAAAATCATTGTGAAAAAAAGAAAATGGAAGATTGAACACTTGTATAATCTAGTACTTCAAAACTATTTGTGAAGTATTGATAAAAAAGAAAATATTTTTACACCCATTGTCAGCCATGACAGAATGCTAGCGTATATACGACGGCTCAAGAGTACTAAATGTGTCAAAAAGAAATCACGATCAGTTGAACAACCTAATAACCTTTAGAAAGAAATCTAGTTTCAACAAAAAAGAAGGTAGTATATTCTTACTTTGCCTATGGGAGTGATAATGGAAAATTGCTTTCTGTAAAAATTAGTCCTTCATCTAAGTAAAAGAATACAGTATCTCTGGACATTTTATCAAAGAAACGACAAAAAAAAAGTGAGATAAAGAATTGTTGTGTGAATAGCAGCTGTCAGTATTCCCTTCCAGTTCAATATCTCACTGATTTGAATAGTATTCAACTTATTTTTATTCCAACTTTCTATTGACAAGCTGTCTGTTAAAATGGTTTCTGTAGAATGACATTGACTTACGTTTCATCACTTCTGCTGACAGTGACAGTCGCAAGTGAATTTCAACTTGGAAATTGTTTCCATTCTAATACATAACGAGTGTTAAAACAACGATGTACAAGCAAGCGTTAATATAAGGTCAAGTGTTAAATCACAATAGGGAACGTGTATGCTGTTAATTTTAAGGACAGTTCGTAATAAAAGAACTCGAAGATTTCTCCAAATTGTCCCCCCCTCTCAAAAAATCGAGTGCTAGTTTTAATTCGCTATTTTGTCGTCTGTTTATATCACAAAATTAAAATTTTCTATTTGTTCTTTGATATATATATTTATATATATAAATATATATTTATTTGTGTGTGTGTGTGTGAGTGAGTGTGTGTGTGTATTATTATATATATATATATATCGTCAGGCCATGTGCGTTGTGTTTTTGTTCAACTTACAAACATAACGGACATGGCCTTTGTGTCTGTGCGTGTGTAAGTCTTAATGACTTCCTTGGAGACATCTTCCACGTTGTAATTTGAATAAAAATATTTCTTAGAGGCATTTCTCCTACCGTTGACCGAAAATAGAAAACTTTTATTCTAACTCAAAGTAAATTATTGCATGGAAGATTTAGAGGTGAATGTTGGAAAATGTTTCCTATTTTCACCAGACTCGAGGACGAACTGTCGGAAGTCATTAGTCAAAGAAGCCATATTTAATCTGATCGATGCCCTTATCGATGCAAAACTAAATCTTCATTTGGATGACGCAAAAGAAGAACATTTGCCCTAACGCAACCCACCACAATGAGACATTAATGAAACCTTTAGAGCAAAATAAATGCTTAAAGCTGATGACCCTATGCTTTACTGAATTTAGTGTCCGTTGAGATAATGCATATCTTGACTGAAATGTATTGATATTCATTTGTTGAGAGCGGACATTGTGCACAGGTAAAATTCACAATGTTCCCCTTTTTCTCGGTCGGTTAAATGTTGAAATTCTGACACCCAGCAACGTTCATCGTCATATTCCCAACACAACTCTCTCTTCAGTCGCGCTCATTTGGAAGCATAACTGAGTAACTTCAATTTATATAACTAAGCAGATTAGATTACTAAAGTAATTAGATGATTAGATTTGTAAATCAAGTTAATTTTATTAAATTAGATTAACAATTCGATTAGTTTTCTCAACGGATTAGATTATGAAACTAAATAACTCTAAATTTTTTTCCTTCACACAAAATTCCATAAAAAATCCATGATTCTTTCAATGATCTGAGGATTAGTGATTTCAAGTTTGTTTATCAGCCATTTTCATCGTCATTCTCAAGATGATAATTGATTAATGATATTAAATTACTGGTTCAATGTTTAGCATTTTATTTTACTGATGTCACCTTTTGATCTTTTCGCAATTAGAATTCATCTTTTTAAAATTATTTGAAAATCCAGATATTCTTGTTAAGGTTTATAATGCGTGTCTTAGACTTCTCAAAATTTGAAAATCATAATATATTCTATAATTGGAACCGTTATACAAGAAAGAACAGACATAGTTGCAAAAAGAAGGAGGGTCGAAAACAAAAGAATATGAGCAGATGATATTTTTTTATTGGTGGGGGTGAAAAGAATGGACAGTCGTAGTTGTTGGAAGAATAAAAATAGGAAAACTGAAACAGAAGTTATTGTGGAAAGAAGGAAAAGAAAAATGTACAGATCTTAATATGATCGTATTTTTTTATCAGAACAAGCAATGCAAAAAGACCCATACCTATGTTTCATATATTAAGAAAGACATTTGATAGAGTAGGACAAATGAAGTTCCTTGAAATATCAAGGAAGCTTGATTTACACCGGAAAGATAATGTGGTAACCCGTCATTTCTATTGGGAAATAAACATATTGCATGTGGATTAAGAGCAGTCTCAGTAAATATATAAACATAAATAATAATAATAATAATTATAATAATAATAATAATAATAATAATGAACATGTTTGGAAGGAAAAAAGAACAAATGTAGTTTTGAAATAATCAAAAATGGAGGACATTGTTGTTGGTAGAAGAGGAAAAATAATAATAATAGAAGATTGAAATGGCGTATTTTTTAATGAAAAAGTGACATGAGAATGAACATTGTTGGAAGAAGAAGAAGAAGAAATAAAAGATGGATATTGTCAATTTGTTAGCCTTTATCATATTTCGTGATTCATTTTTTACTTTGTAATGAAACAAAAGAAAAACAAAGAACAATTAAAACAAGGTTATTTTCAGAAATCACATCATCGTAGAAATGAACACATTATATGTGGGTCCCATTGATTAGGAAATAATAAGCATTGTATTGAAAGGTGCAAATTTTCAATGCCTAACATGTATAAAAGTTCAAATGCCTCGTGTTACCTGTTATTTGTGAGTTTAATCACTGCGCCAAGCAAGAAGAATCCAACAATGAAAAAGAAGCGTCAATCCAAATAAGAATGAACTATCGTAAGATACCTTATAACATTGAGAACCGAATGATATTATCCTTTACTGTGGAGGATCGATTGAGAACTGTTATGAGATATCATGTGATGCGTAGAACCGAATGAGTGATGTCACGCGATATTCTCTGTGGAGAACTGAATGAGAATCGCCCTGAGATATCCTGCACCACGGAGAACCGAGTGAGACTTGATATGAGATATCATGTGACGCGAAAAAGCGAATGAGAACCGTCATGGGATATCGTCTACCACGGAGAAGCGAATGAGAACTGTCATGAGATATCGTCTACCACAGAGAAGCGAATGAGAACTGTCATAGGATATCATCTACCAAGTAGAAGCGAATGAGAACTGTCATGATATGACGTCTACCACGGAGAAGCGAATGAGAACTGTCATGATATGACGTCTACCACGGAGAAGCGAATGAGAACTGTCATGAGATATCGTCTACCACAGAGAAGCGAATGAGAACTGTCCTGAGATATCATCTACCATAGAAGGGCGAATGAGAATTGGCATACGATATCGTCTACCACGGAGAAGCGAATGAGAATTATCATGAGATATCGTCTACCACGGAGAAGCGAATGAGAACTGTCATAGGATATCGTCTACCATGGAGGAGCGGATGTGACCTGTCATGAGATATCATCTACCATGGAGAAGTGAATGAGAACTGTCATGAGATATCGTCTACCATGGAGAAGCGAATGTGACCTGTTATGAGATATCGTCTACCATGGAGAAGCGAATGAGAACTGTCATGAGATATCGTCTACCACGGAGAAGCGAATGAGAACTGTCATAGGATATCGTCTACCATGGAGAAGCAAATGTGACCTGTCATGAGATATCGTCTACCATGGAGAAGCGAATGAGAACTGTCATGAGATATCGTCTACCATGGAGAAGCGAATGTGACCTGTCATGAGATATCATCTACCATGGAGAAGCGAATGAGAACTGTCATGAGATATCGTCTACCACGGAGAAGCGAATGAGAACTGTCATGAGATATCGTCTACCACGGAGAAGCGAATGAGAACTGTCATAGGATATCGTCTACTATGGAGAAGCAAATGTGACCTGTCATGAGATATCATCTACCATGGAGAAGCAAAATATATCACTGTCATGAGATATCGTCTACCACGGAGAAGCGAATGAGAACTGTCATGAGATATCGTCTACCACGGAGAAGCGAATGAGAACTGTCATAGGATATCGTCTACCATGGAGAAGCGAATGTGACCTGTCATGAGATATCATCTACCATGGAGAAGCGAATAAGAACTGTCATGAGATATCGTCTACCACAGAGAAGCGAATGAGAACTGTCATGAGTTATTATCTACCAATGAAAAGCCAATGAGAACTGTCTATGTGATTTTCTTAACCATGAAGAAGACAGTTGTTCAAATTAATCAGCGTACAATAATTACATAATTAATATATTAATTGTAACTCTAATTATAAAATACAATTAAATAGAAAGAAAATACAATTAGGATTGTCGTTAGATTTTAGCTAAGATTTTATATAGGTACCTCCACGAGATCGCTAAAAAAATAGCATAGCATGATGAAAAAGACGCCAAACTTGACGAAAACAAAATTTTATCGTCTAAATATTTGTTATTATATAAGAGGAAAGGTTCAAAGTATTTTGGGGGTATTTTTTCCATTTTTAATCGTTCCTAGCACGTCCGAAATTTTCGTTAAAAATCTA